GCGCCCCCGGCGGGGGAAACTGGGGCAGGGCGGGGGGGGGGGGCGGGACAGCCCCCCCCCCGGGCACGGGGGGGTGGGCAGGGGACACGTGGGGACACACACGGGGTGGCAGCAGCGCTCACCTGGGAGTTGGGGCGGAGGGAACTGAGGGGAAACTGAGGCACGGTTGTGGGGGGGGACAGCGGGACAGCCCCCCCCGGGTACGTGGGGATGTTGTGGGGTGGGCAGGGGACACGGGGTGGCACCGAGGTGGCAGCAGTGCCAATCTGGAGGTTGGGGTGGCGGGAACTGAGGGGAAACTGAGGCACGGTGGGCGGGGACACCGGGACAGCCCCGCCGGGGACAGCGGGACAGGCAGGGGACATGGCGGGGAAGGGGATGGCGCTCGGGGGACACGGGGGGGACACACACGAGGTGGCACCTGGGAGTGGGGGTGGCAGGAACTGAGGGGAAACTGAGGCACGGCGGGGGATGGCGCTCGGGGGACACGTGGGGACACACACGGGGTGGCACCTGGGAATGGGGGTGGCAGGAACTGAGGGGAAACTGAGGCACGGCGGGGGATGGCGCTCGGGGGACACGCGGGGACACGCACGGGGTGGCACCGCGGTGGCACCGGGACTCACCTGGGAGTTGGGGCGGCTGTTGGGGACATCGTCGGGGTGTCCCCGCTCGGGGCTCCAGGTGCCCGTCCTCTGGAACATCTCCTGGGCGCGCTGCGTCACCCAGGACTGGCTCTCCTTCATGTCCCCGTCCCGCGCGGCCCTGGGGACAGCGGCGCTGGTGACACCGCGGGGGACACGGCGGGGGACGGCGGGGACACGCGGGTGGCACTTACGGCTCCGCCGCGGGCGCCGCGTCCGGCCCCGGGGGTCCCTCCTGGGTGGGGGACGGCGGCTCCATGCGCTGGAACATCAGCGGGGTGCGGTTCTGCGGGGACAGGGGACACGGGGCGTGGCACTGGGGATACGGGACAGGGGACACGGGACATGGGACAGGGGACAGGGGACACGGGGCGTGGCACTGGGGACACGGGACAGGGGACACAGGACAGGGGACACGGGACGTGGCACAGGGGACACGGGACAGGGGACACAGGACAGGGGACACGGGACGTGGCACAGGGGACACGGGACAGGGGACACAGGACAGGGGACACGGGACGTGGCACAGGGGACACGGGACAGGGGACACAGGACAGGGGACACGGGACGTGGCACAGGGGACACGGGACAGGGGACACAGGACAGGGGACACGGGACGTGGCACAGGGGACACGGGACAGGGGACACAGGACAGGGGACACGGGACGTGGCACAGGGGACACGGGACAGGGGACACAGGACAGGGGACACGGGACGTGGCACAGGGGACACGGGACAGGGGACACAGGACAGGGGACACGGGACGTGGCACAGGGGACACGGGACAGGGGACACAGGACAGGGGACACGGGACGTGGCACAGGGGACACGGGACAGGGGACACAGGACAGGGGACACGGGACGTGGCACAGGGGACACGGGACAGGGGACACAGGACAGGGGACACGGGACGTGGCACAGGGGACACGGGACAGGGGACACAGGACAGGGGACACGGGACGTGGCACAGGGGACACGGGACAGGGGACACAGGACAGGGGACACGGGACGTGGCACAGGGGACACGGGACAGGGGACACAGGACAGGGGACACGGGACGTGGCACAGGGGACACGGGACAGGGGACACAGGACAGGGGACACGGGACGTGGCACAGGGGACACGGGACAGGGGACAGGGGACACGGGGTGTGGCACTGGGGACATGGGACAGGGGACACAGGACAGGGGACACGGGACGTGGCACAGGGGACACGGGACAGGGGACATGGGGACAGTGGGACACAGGAATATGGGACATGGAGATACAGGGACATGGGGACATGGGACGCAGGGCACGGGACATGGGGACACGGGGCCATGGGGACACAGGGACATGGGGATATGGGACAGGTGACAGGGGGACACAGGGACACGGGGACATGGGGACATGGGGACATGGAGGTGCTGGGACACGGGGACATGGGGACACAGGGAACATGGGGACACAGGGACACCAGGACACCAAGATGGGAACACCAGCACCTGGGCACACCGTGACACAAGGACACGGGGACACCAGAGGTGGCAGAGCAGCGGACAGTGCCAGCCTGAGGCCCGCAGGGGGGGACACCTGGAGGTGGCAGGGAGGGGACAGCGGGTGACAGCGGCCGTGTCCCACCTGCTCCTCGCGCATGGCCTGCAGCTTCTTGGCCTTGCTCTGCCGGTAGTACTCCATGATCATCATGGCCGCGTAGATCTTGCCCACCGTCAGGTCGGTGGCTGCGGGGACACGCGTCAGGGCACGGCGGGGACAGCGCGGGGACAGCGCGGGGACAGCGCGGGGGTGGCCTCTTACACTTGTGGGGGGTGACAAGCAGGTCCAGGTTTTTGGGGGACAGGTTGGGCCAGATGGCGATCATCTCCTTGCGCAGCTCCGCGTCCATCTGCTGCTTGTCGGCACCGCCTGCGGACGCACGCGGGTGACAACGGTGACACGGGTGACACGGGTGGCTCTGTGTGTCCTTGGGACACACGGGTGACAATGGTGACACGGGTGGCTCTGTGTGTCCTTGGGGACACGGGGGTGACACTGGTGACATGGATGGCTCTGTGTGTCCTTGGGACACGCGGGTGACACCGGTGACAGGGGTGGCTCTGTGTGTCCTTGGGGACACGGGGGTGACAACGGTGACACGGATGGCTCTGTGTGTCCTTGGGACACGCGGGTGACAACGGTGACACGGGTGACACGGGTGGCTCTGTGTGTCCTTGGGACACGCGGGTGACATGGCTCTGTGTGTCCTTGGGACACGGGGGTGACAACGGTGACACGGGTGACATGGGTGGCTCTGTGTGTCCTTGGGACACGCGGGTGACACCGGTGACAGGGGTGGCTCTGTGTGTCCTTGGGACACGGGGGTGACAACGGTGACACGGGTGACAGGGGTGCAGGGGTGGCTCTGTGTGTCCTTGGGACACGGGGGTGACAACGGTGACACGGGTGACATGGGTGGCTCTGTGTGTCCTTGGGACACGCGGGTGGACAACGGTGACACGGGTGGCTCTGTGTGTCCTTGGGACACGTGGGTGACACCGGTGACACGGGTGGCTCTGTGTGTCCTTGGGACACGCGGGTGACAACGGTGACACGGATGGCTCTGTGTGTCCTCAAGGACACGCAGGTGACACCGGTGACACGGGTGACATGGGTAGATCTGTGTGTCCTTGGGACACGCGGGTGACAACGGTGACACGGGTGGCTCTGTGTGTCCTCAAGGCCAGGCGGGTGACAGCGGTGACACGGGTGACATGGGTGGCTCTGTGTGTCCTCAAGGACACGCGGGTGACAACGGTGACATGGGTGGCTCTGTGTGTCCTCAAGGACACGCGGGTGACACCGGTGACATGGGTGGCTCTGTGTGTCCTCAAGGACACGCGGGTGACAACGGTGACATGGGTGGCTCTGTGTGTCCTTGGGACACGCGGGTGACAACGGTGACACGGATGGCTCTGTGTGTCCTCAAGGACACGCAGGTGACACCGGTGACACGGGTGACATGGGTAGATCTGTGTGTCCTTGGGACACGCGGGTGACAACGGAGACACGGATGGCTCTGTGTGTCCTCAAGGACACGCGGGTGACAACGGAGACACGGATGGCTCTGTGTGTCCTCAAGGACACGCGGGTGACAACGGAGACACGGATGGCTCTGTGTGTCCTCAAGGACACGCGGGTGACAACGGAGACACGGATGGCTCTGTGTGTCCGCAAGGACACGCAGGTGACACCGGGGACACGGGTGACATGGGTAGCTCTGTGTGTCCTTGNGGGGGTGACAATGGTGACACCGGTGACACGGGTGGCTCTGTGTGTCCTTGGGACACGGGGTGACAATGGTGACACCGGTGACATGGGTGGCTCTGTGTGTCCTTGGGACACGCGGGTGACAACGGTGACACGGGTGGCTCTGTGTGTCCTCAAGGACACGTGGGTGACAATGGTGACACGGGCGGCTCTGCGTGTTCCCATGTCCTACCAGTGTCCCCATGTCCCCTGGTGTCCCCAGTGTCCCCCTGTCCCTGCAGTGTCCTGCGGTGTCCCCATATCCCTCCATATCCCCCAGTGTCCCCAATGTCCCCACACCCCCCCCATATCCCCCGATGTCCCCTGATGTCCCCACATCCCCCAGTGTCCCCTGTATCCCCAGTGTCCCCCAATGTCCCCACATCCCCTGTGTCCCCACATCCCCCGGTGTCCCCATTGTCCCGGTGTCCCCACTGTCCCCCGTTGTCCTCTGATGTCCCCGTTGTCCCCGCGGTGTCCCCCTGTCCCCCGATGTCCCAGTTGTCCCCATTGTCCCGGTGCCCCCTGTCCCCTGATGTCCCCATTGTCCCCTGTTGTCCCATTGTCCCCGCTGTATCCCCGTTGTCCCCCAGTGTCCCATTGTCCCCGCAGTGTCCCCGGTGTCCCCGTTGTCCCATTGTCCCCGGTGTCCCTGTTGTCCCCCGATGTCCCCGGTGTCCCCCTGTCCCCTGATGTCCCCATTGTCCCCCGTAGTCCCGCTGTCCCCCCGATGTCCCCGATGTCCCCGATATCCCCGCTGTCCCCGTTGTCCCGCGGTGTCCCCGCTGTCCCCGCAGTGTCCCTGTTTTCCCAATGTCCCCCTGTCCCCGCGGTGTCCCCCTGTCCCCCGTTGTCCCATTGTCCCCCGGTGTCCCCCTGTCCCCGCTGTCCCCGTTGTCCCCACAGTGTCCCGTTGTCCCCGTTGTCACCGGTGTCCCCACATCCCCCGTTGTCCCGTTGTCCCTGCGGTGTCCCCTGATATCCCCGTTGTCCTGCTGTCCCCGTTGTCCCCGCAGTGTCCCCGTTGTCCCCATTGTCCCGCTGTCCCCGTTGTCCCCGCTGTCCCCGTTGTCCCAGTTGTCCCGGTGCCCCCTGTCCCCTGATGTCCCCATTGTCCCCCGTTGTCCCCATTGTCTCCGCTGTGTCCCCATTGTCCCAGTTGTCCCGTTGTCCCCGGTGTCCCCGCTGTCCCCGGTGTCCCCATTGTCCCCGTTGTCCCGTTGTCACGGTGTCCCCGCAGTGTCCCCATTGTCCCCCGTTGTCCCCGTTGTCCCGTTGTCCCCTGATGTCCCCATTGTCCCCCGTTGTCCCCGTTGTCCCCGTTGTCCCCATTGTCCCGTTGTCCCCGCTGTGTCCCCCGATGTCCCCCTGTCCCCCGTTGTCCCGTTGTCCCCCGGTGTCCCCGGTGTCCCCGTTGTCCCCGCAGTGTCCCCATTGTCCCCCGTTGTCCCAGTTGTCCCCGTTGTCCCGCTGTCCCCTGATGTCCCCATTGTCCCCCGGTGTCCCCGTTGTCGCGGTGTCCCCGGTGTCCCCATTGTCCCCATCGTCCCGTTGTCCCCGGTGTCCCCGTTGTCCCGGTGTCTCCATTGTCCCCCGTTGTCCCGGTGTCCCGGTGTCCCGCTGTCCCCGTTATCCCCGTTGTCCCGCTGTCCCCTGATGTCCCCATTGTCCCCGTTGTCCCCATTGTCCCCGTTGTCCCCGTTGTCCCGGTGTCCCCATTGTCCCCGCTGTCCCCGCTGTCCCCGTTGTCCCGTTGTCCCGTTGTCCCAGTGTCGCGGTGTCCCCTGATGTCCCCGTTGTCCCGGTGTCCCCATTGTCCCCGCTGTCCCCGCTGTCCCCCGTTGTCCCGTTGTGGGTGACAACGGTGACACGGGTGGCTCTGTGTGTCCTTGGGACACGGGGGTGACAATGGTGACACCGGTGACACGGGTGGCTCTGTGTGTCCTTGGGACACGGGGTGACAATGGTGACACCGGTGACATGGGTGGCTCTGTGTGTCCTTGGGACACGCGGGTGACAACGGTGACACGGGTGGCTCTGTGTGTCCTCAAGGACACGTGGGTGACAATGGTGACACGGGCGGCTCTGCGTGTTCCCATGTCCTACCAGTGTCCCCATGTCCCCTGGTGTCCCCAGTGTCCCCCTGTCCCTGCAGTGTCCTGCGGTGTCCCCATATCCCTCCATATCCCCCAGTGTCCCCAATGTCCCCACACCCCCCCCATATCCCCCGATGTCCCCTGATGTCCCCACATCCCCCAGTGTCCCCTGTATCCCCAGTGTCCCCCAATGTCCCCACATCCCCTGTGTCCCCACATCCCCCGGTGTCCCCATTGTCCCGGTGTCCCCGCTGTCCCCCGTTGTCCTCTGATGTCCCCGTTGTCCCCGCGGTGTCCCCCTGTCCCCCGATGTCCCAGTTGTCCCCATTGTCCCGGTGCCCCCTGTCCCCTGATGTCCCCATTGTCCCCTGTTGTCCCATTGTCCCCGCTGTATCCCCGTTGTCCCCCAGTGTCCCATTGTCCCCGCAGTGTCCCCGGTGTCCCCGTTGTCCCATTGTCCCCGGTGTCCCTGTTGTCCCCCGATGTCCCCGGTGTCCCCCTGTCCCCTGATGTCCCCATTGTCCCCCGTAGTCCCGCTGTCCCCCCGATGTCCCCGATGTCCCCGATATCCCCGCTGTCCCCGTTGTCCCGCGGTGTCCCCGCTGTCCCCGCAGTGTCCCTGTTTTCCCAATGTCCCCCTGTCCCCGCGGTGTCCCCCTGTCCCCCGTTGTCCCATTGTCCCCCGGTGTCCCCCTGTCCCCGCTGTCCCCGTTGTCCCCACAGTGTCCCGTTGTCCCCGTTGTCACCGGTGTCCCCACATCCCCCGTTGTCCCGTTGTCCCTGCGGTGTCCCCTGATATCCCCGTTGTCCTGCTGTCCCCGTTGTCCCCGCAGTGTCCCCGTTGTCCCCATTGTCCCGCTGTCCCCGTTGTCCCCGCTGTCCCCGTTGTCCCAGTTGTCCCGGTGCCCCCTGTCCCCTGATGTCCCCATTGTCCCCCGTTGTCCCCATTGTCTCCGCTGTGTCCCCATTGTCCCAGTTGTCCCGTTGTCCCCGGTGTCCCCGCTGTCCCCGGTGTCCCCATTGTCCCCGTTGTCCCGTTGTCACGGTGTCCCCGCAGTGTCCCCATTGTCCCCCGTTGTCCCCGTTGTCCCGTTGTCCCCTGATGTCCCCATTGTCCCCCGTTGTCCCCGTTGTCCCCGTTGTCCCCATTGTCCCGTTGTCCCCGCTGTGTCCCCCGATGTCCCCCTGTCCCCCGTTGTCCCGTTGTCCCCCGGTGTCCCCGGTGTCCCCGTTGTCCCCGCAGTGTCCCCATTGTCCCCCGTTGTCCCAGTTGTCCCCGTTGTCCCGCTGTCCCCTGATGTCCCCATTGTCCCCCGGTGTCCCCGTTGTCGCGGTGTCCCCGGTGTCCCCATTGTCCCCATCGTCCCGTTGTCCCCGGTGTCCCCGTTGTCCCGGTGTCTCCATTGTCCCCCGTTGTCCCGGTGTCCCGGTGTCCCGCTGTCCCCGTTATCCCCGTTGTCCCGCTGTCCCCTGATGTCCCCATTGTCCCCCGGTGTCCCCGTTGTCCCGGTGTCCCGGTGTCCCGCTGTCCCCGTTATCCCCGTTGTCCCGCTGTCCCGGTGTCCCGCTGTCCCCGTTATCCCCGTTGTCCCGCTGTCCCGGTGTCCCGCTGTCCCCGTTATCCCCGTTGTCCCGCTGTCCCGGTGTCCCGCTGTCCCCGTTATCCCCGTTGTCCCGCTGTCCCGGTGTCCCGCTGTCCCCGTTATCCCCGTTGTCCCGCTGTCCCGGTGTCCCGCTGTCCCCGTTGTCCCGGTGTCCCGGTGTCGCGGTGTCGCGGTGTCCCCGTGCCTTTGGCGATCTTGATGTCGAGCGCGGTGCGGATCAGGGCCATCAGCGTGGAGTTGAAGTGCACCGTGTTGTCATCGGCCACCGGCAGGTCCATGCGGAGCAGCCGCTGCGGGGGGGGGTCCCCAAATTTGGG